TTATTTACATCTTGTGACATATGGACACAGACTAATACAGTGTCTGAGGAGGTGCGAATGGTTCTGCACATTAATGTTTAGGGGAGGCAGCTGCAAATGGGCCATTCAAGAGGGCGCGAGATGGTTATAATTCGTAATAATGTGCACAGTTACAGGGGAAAAGCAGGAGATCAGCACTAAATTAAAATGCTGAGCAAACTACAGACACGATGGACTGAATGACCTCCTGCACCAGGACAATTGTGTGTGAGACCTGGAGGGGAATTTGCAAAAAGTGGTATTTCCAAGTGTGTTGCTCTTAATCGTTTTCATGGTTGAGGTTACAGGAATTCTGTTGAAAGATGCTTTGGTGATTTTTCTGCAGTGCATCCATAAAGCTAGTACATGTTGTTACTACTTCTGTACTGATGACGGAGGAAGTGAATGTTTAAGATAGAGGATGAATTTCTGATCAATCTGGCTGCTTTTCCTAAGGGTGGTGTTCAGTTTCTTGTGTGTTGTTGAAGTTGCATTCAGTGATGTAATTGCTGAGTACTTCTTCAAAATCTAGACATGCTTGAAGATAGTGGATAGGGTGCCAGGAGGTGAATTCCCAGCCTCTGACCTGCACATGTAGCCACATCATTTCTGTGGCTGATCGCTCTTAATTTTCGAGCTTGTAACTCCCAGAATGGTTGCAGTTTCAGTGATGATGCTGTTGAATGTTGAGACAAGATGGTTAGATTCTCTTCTGAAGGACTGTGAGATTGAATCATATAGTTGGAGCACTTACTTGAGACAGATGCATTCACCACCGTTCATGACTTGTGTTTCCAAAGTTTGCATTTGTTGTGAAAGAGAAAATTGCCTGAGAATTAACTCATGGTCCATCAACATTTTTGGTATTTTCTCTCTATCTGTATTGAAGCAGCTGCCATTTACTGTGATGTGTGCTGGGTGTTCTTCAATGTTTTGTCCCTGTGAATGCACTTCATGTATAAACCTAGATAGTGAACACTGACAAATAATTATGTGTAGGAACTACGGCTGATTCTTACCCATCAGCTGGAAGCTCAGGCAAGTGCAAAATAAGATGTTGAATTTGTGAATGTTCTGATTCATCGGAGTCCATAGTTGAGAGACAGATGGAAATGGTAACAAGGATGTGCATTTGTGGTGGAAGCTCAAGAAGCTTTGCTTCAGGCTTCCAGTCTTTAAATGGAATAGTAATTCATGCAAGCTTGGTGTCAAACAAGCTGACAGAATTACTGAGTCAGTTAAGAGAAGTAGTAGACTTTACATATGGGAGCTGACACAATTTCTGCAAATTTGTCAATAAAGCTGGGACCTTCTGTTCTGACTTATTTCTGTACTACATCAGGCACTGCCTTCTGTTTAGAATGCAATGAGGTGTGCTAACTAGCCTTTCAAAAGATAGCAGTATGTTCCAAAACCAGTCTTAGTGTGCATCTTGTTTATTATACAAAAGGGATGATTTTAAAAGGAGAAAGAATGCCACAGTCAGAACTTTTGGCTGCCACTGCCTGGAATGAGGTGGGGCTAAAAATGAGTGCTACGCTCATCTTTGCCTGCCTTCATTGACAGGGTAGGTGGTACTCTTCAGCCAGTTAAGGTTGCAGGGGTGTGTGTGCGTGCATGCGTGTGGGTTGTTGCCCCTGAGTACAACATGCCCTCAGCCTCTTGACGCTATTCAGTGGCAGGACATGCTTCAGGTGATGTCTTTGGGACCAAAACTGCAACCACAGGCAACTCATTGCCTGATGGCTATGACTGCCTCTGCAATAAATCTCAGCCTGCAACTCAAAAATATTCCCGGAGTGTCCTTTTAATTTTTAAAAGAAAACTTCTCCTTTCAAGTGAGCATGAATTTCATTTTGATGAGGTGATCCAAGTTCAAAAATCTGGTAGGGTCTTGCATTTACTACTCTCCTTAGTCTATTACAAGGATCTGTTGCTCTGTGTCATTTGATTGGTTGGCTGTTAAATGGTAGAGACTGAACAAATGCATTTGTTGTGAACCAGAAGGAAGAGAAATAATTTTGACTTTATTGGTTTAGATCTGTTAGTTTTATGATTTTATTTTATTTATTATTCTTTTCTGTTATTATTTTTATTATTTGCTACAACATTTGACCTGAACCACACTGTGTGAGACATAAGGCTCATGTTTGATGGCACTAGGTGCAAAGTGGAAGTATTAGCAATTGGTGCTTATTGCTGAATTGTCAAGGAACAGGGCTGGTTATTGTTAATTTGAAGCTGCATCCTGTAGGAGATGTAAATAATGTGTTTTAAGCAATAAAGCCAATGTGACCCTTGTCATTTCTGCTAATTTCCTCCTGAACTGACTGCCTGCTTGGTAATAAATGTCATACGTTGCAGGTTATTACTGCAGCTGGGCTTAAGGTTCTCTTCCGTAACATCTTGGAAAAAACTTCCTCAAACAAAATGCATTGAAAACATCCATGCTGAAAAACCCAAAAATCCTTGCATTGATTGATGTGTTGTCTCTGTGTCATTATATAGTCATATCACTTTCGTGTAAGTTGTGCTTTGTAAGCAAAAAACTCTCACACTTAAACTCTGCTGAAGGGGACTTTGTGTTTTATTTAAACTGAAAATAGGCTCAAAAATCTTGTAGTTGTTATGTAGTCTCTTCATATGAATACAGAAAGTTGTCTTACATTATGTGTAAATAAATGTTTTAATTTTTTCCTCACCTCATTTCATCAAAAGATATTGACACCTGTTTTATGGCATAGTGGTAATGTCCCTACCCTGGGCCAGAAGCTCCAGGTTGCAGTCTCACCTCAGGACATCATGGTCATAGACCACGTGTCATAACACGAACAAACCAGTTGATTATCAATCTGTAAATCTTTCTATAATGGTTTTGATAGGGGATAAGTGCAGGAGAGTTTTCTGATTGACCAGAATCATGTGGAAGCTGCAGCATTATCGTCCCTCCACAATAAAAGACTCTTCATTGCAGTTTCTGGTCATGAACAAGTACATTCCTCATTCTCCTCACCACCAACCCCTTCTTTCACCAAAGGGTTTGAGTGAATCAGATGGGTTTTCTAACAATCAACAACAGTTTCATGGTCCCTATTTACTTTAGTTTTCAATTCCAGAATTATTAGCTGAATGTATATTCCACCAGTTACAATAATGGGAATTGAACCCATGTCCTTAGAGCTTTATCTTGAGCTTTTAGACTACTAGTCTAATGATGCCACCACTATACCACCGTCTCCCATTGAACCTGCCTGTTTTGTACACACTTTTTTTTTTTTACTACTTTAGTTTGATTTTCTGACTTGCCTAGCTGCAGTTTTGTTAAGGATAACTCTGAGCAAACTGTTATTGAGGACAGACTCAACATGGAGCCTGAATATTGCCTTTGAGTTGCTTTTGGACACTTCCTGTTGGCCAAGCCAGAAGCGTTGGCAGCGGTTTGGAAAATTATCAGGTAGTCAAATAAAGATAGAATAAAGAGAATTTACCCACTCGGCAAAACATCGTCATCTGACGAGCTTATGTTTATCTGTGCCTCTTGAATATTTAAATTGATTTCATGTAGGCTAACGGACCATCCTTTAATGGATTTTATTGTTGTAATTAATGGGTGTTATGACCATAGTGAACATCATTTTCTGTGCTGAAGTGCAACCACAGCAGTAATTGTAAAGCTTTGAGCTTGTCTCATGTTTAGTTAGAATACAGTGCTTTCTTCAGCATGAAGTGTGCTGGAAGTGTCATTCTGAGGCTTGGTAGATTGTGATGCTGTTATTGAATTTTTTTTTAACCAACTTTGCTTTTGAGCACTTCGATATAAAATCTTGCAGTAGCTAAACTTCCGTGTCATTTTTCTTGGTTAAGTCAAAATGCCCTTCCTTAATGCTGCCTCAGAATATCATAAAACTCATTTCTGTTTGATGCATCTTTCTCCCTGTCCATTTGTTACCTCAGGGAGTTGAGGGAAAGGACAATGTTTCTGTATCATTCTTTCTGAGAACATTACAGTGGGATTCAAACTTTGATAACTACCCACAGAGAATGGCAACATCTAGCTTTGAGTAATTCAACAAAGGTAACTCCCAACACTGGATTTTGCTTCAGGAGTCTGGAACTTGACTTTGGGTTTCAACCCTGCACCATGTTGAAATGCAATGCCCAGCCAATTAGGGCAGACTTGCTGTTAAACCAGGATAGTGGATGGCCTCCCAAAACTAGAGGGCTAATAGGAACCCCTCTATGTATGTGGCATAGAGAATGGTCATCTCCATCTTGAGTGTCCTTAAACTCAATGTTTTATAAAACATACAGAGGGATGGAGGCCAGAACTGCCAGTCTGCCTTTGTGGAAGGGAAACATCTCAGTTGGTATACTGTAGCTGCAGTTGTCCACATGGCAGCTGTGGGGGAAGCGTTTCAGAAACCCACTGGAGCGCTGGCTCCCTGTTCTACTGCCAGGAAGCCCCGTACCACCATCCAGGATTCACCTGCCAGCAGGGACCTGCCTACTGAAAGGAAAGTTTCACTAGGCACAGAGGATGAGCTTCAATAGACTCCTTAACTGGTTTAATTAGCTACCTGTAACTAAAGGGTAAGCAGCATTTTTGCCCCTGATCTAGGCTTTTTCTCAAAATGGTTCCACACTAGCCTATGGTGGGAAATTCCAGATCCACTTCCTTCTGGTCCCATCCCATCAGCCTTTAACAACCCAGCCCCAGACCTGCAGTGCCAATTAATCTTCCTCAGATGCAGGAAGAGTGCATCTCCTGCCCCCAAGCTAGGTCAAGATTGCCACTGTGAATAAACATTAATAACGCCCTTTATAGAAAATGGATTTATATAGATGCTGAGAAAAAAAATGTATTTTCCTGAGCTCTGATATGACAGTCCCTATCTTTCAATTGCCAGTGTAAAGGGTATTAGATGCAATCTATGATTTTGATAAAGTTCATGCTGACATGTATTCTTCCTTTGTCACTGTAGGGACTATGGTTGTCAAGAGTTCAAACATACAAGTGGGAGATTTGATTATTGTTGATAAGGTTAGTATTTTCATTTGGATTTAAGTATAATGATTTATTTCAAATAAGGTTGCAATGATAAGGAAAAGATATTAGAAACATCTGGAAACTGAAAATGTAATAAAGAGTAGTCAGCACAGTTTTCAACTAGGAAGATCATACTTGAGCAAACTTATCTGGTTTTGTGATAGTAATGATGGTGAAAATGTCAATGTTCTCTGCAATTACACCTCTGAAACCGACAGCAGCTTCTGGAGTCCACATGTATAGTTAAACATGAATTGTTGAACTTGTCAGTGAGGGTGCATGGTTGATGTTTGCCCAGAATGTAATCACTTAGCAATCATTTAATTGATGAGGATTATACTATTAGTCTATTTTGTACAAACAATGTGACAAAGTATTGAATGAGATGTAATTGGGTTTATTTTAATAATTATTGTCAAAACCTCCTTGCCTGAAACAGTAAATTTATATTTGATGTTTAAAAAATCTGTATGTTAAGTTTTTTTTAAATCTTGTCTGATATGTTAGCCGTTTGCTTAGGTCCATGCTTATGGTCCAGTTAATTTTGTCACTATCTGTAATATTTATAGGGGTGGAGTAATTCAGAGCTTTTTTACTTCCTGGTTTGCTGTCTGAGGATGTACTTTAATGTGGTTGGCTGCTTACCCTGCTTGATGACATCACTGTTACTAGGTGCCTAGGGAATTCCCTCGACTGGGTGACAAATTCAAACAGGTGTAGGGCTAATAAAGACTTTTTGGGAAGTTTTCGTTGAGGTCAAAGATGCTAATGGCATAAGTTATGTAATAAAAGAAAATTAATTATTGACAGGAAATGTAATTTCGTAGCAGATCCTGATTTTAAAAAAATAAATGTATGGAAATCTTGAACAGCTTGTAATGATCTTTAACCTGGAAATAGTACAGTGAAGGAAATTTCTTAGAAATGCCTAGGGAATCTAATTGGTTTTTAACCATAACAAAAACAGAAGTTGCTGGAAAAGCTCAGCAGGTCTGGCAGCATCTGAGAAGAAAGAAATTAGAGTTAACGTTTCGAGTCCGGTGACCCTTCCTCAGAACCGATGGTAACTGGGTAAATGTTGATTTATATGCAGAAGATAGGGAGCGGGAGGGGGTAAGGAGTAAATGATAGCTGGGAATAGAGCCCAAAGAGAGAGAAGAGCAGTTGGATAGACAAAGGAGTTGTTAGTTCTCTGGCTAGGAGGGTGAATAGCTGTTAATGGGTACTGTTAGTGACTATCAATAGGTAGTGTGTAATGGAAGACTATGTGATCACAAGGCCTGGTGTTTGGGGTAGGGGGCTAGGACATGAGAGAGTTTGGTTTTTAACAATGTTTGGAAAGGAATGTCAGAGTTTCCAACAATTGTAAAGGGATCAATCAGAAAAGTGATGGAAAGAGTCATCAACAGTGCTATCAAGCAGCACCTGTATTACAATAATGGGCTCGCTTACTCTCAGTTTGCATTCTGCCAGGGGCACGTAGCTCCTGGCCTTATTAAAGTCTTGGTTCAAACATGGACAAAAGAGCTGAACTCCAAATGTAAAGTGACAGTGCATGTCCTTGATATCGAGACCGTGTTTGACTGAGCGTGGAGTCAAGGAGTCTGGAAACAACTAGAATTAATGGATATTAGGTAGAAAATTCTCACTGGTTGAGTCAGTGTAAAGGGAAAATTACGTTTGATAAATTTAGTAGCGTTCTTTGAAGCTATAACAAGCAGAGTTGATAAAGGGAAACCGGTAGATATAGTGTATTTGCATTTCCAGGAAATATTCTCTGAGGTGTCATGTAAAATATTATTTTACAAGGTAGAACCTTATAGTATTTGGGATTATGTATTAACATGGATTGAAGATTGATTAAAACAGACTGTTGGGATTAATGGGTCTATTTCAGATTGGAAAGCTGTAACTAGTGGATTGCCACAAGGATTAGCCCTAGGGTCCCAATTGTCTGTGTTCATGACGTGGAGGAGAGGAGAGTGTTTATGTATCCAAATTTGGTGCTGATGCAAAAATAGGTGGGATGGCATGTTGTGATGAGGTCATAAGGAATCTGCAAGAGGATACAGATAGCTTGAGTAAGTGGCCATAAGCTTAGCAGATGGAATTTAATTTAGGAAGGTGTGAGGACATTCACTTTGGTAAGAAGAATCAAAAGAATCATAAAATTCGTATGGTAAGTAGCTCACCTCCTGACTACCCAGATTTGGTCTGCTATCCATAAGGCACAAGTCGGGTGTGTGATGGTATATTGGATGGCATAATTTCCTGGATGAGTGTAGCTCCAACAACACTAAGAAGCTTGACACCTTCCAGAGCAAATCAGTCCACTTAATTGACACCTCATCCATAAATGTTCACTCCCTTAGGTGCACAGTAGCAGGCATCTACCAAGATGCAGTGCAAAAATTACCAAGGCTCCTTAGATAGCACCTTTAGAAACCAACATTGTTACCATCTAGATGGAAGAACCAGGACAGCGGTTGACCCTGCCAGTTCATTTCCAAGTCACTCTCCATCCTACTGTCACTGTGTCAGAATCTGGAACTCCTCCCTAACAGCATGGTGGATGTACCTACACTAAATAGATCTCAGCAGTTAATGGAGGCTGCTTATCGTCACCTTCACAATAGCAATAGGGATAAGCAATAAATCATGTTGAGCCAGCATAGCCCACGTGCTGTGAATTATTAACATAAATTGTGCATTTCTTGAATAATGATAAATACTACTCAATGTGATCTGGTGAACATTAATCCTAAAGCAATACAAACATGAAAGGAGATAACAATAAATCACCTGAGTGGCTATATAAAGGACAGTTGAAGAAACTATTGCTATATAGAATAAGGAAGAGATAGAAGGTGATCAGCATGCAGGTGCATACACAAAGAGAAAGTAGAGACAGAAAAGGGGACACTGAATTTGTTTGATGTGAAGACAGAAAAGCCCCTGTTGAAAAAGTCACTTTTCTGTTTGCTAGTAATAAAAACCGTTGAATTCCAGAAGCTCCAGAGGAGCTAGGTGTTTTTGGTTGGTTGGTTGGCCTGTTGAAAAGTAACTCTGAAAGGCAACACTGCTGGCATGAGAGAGAGGGGGTGATTCCTGGACATGCATCTTGTCAGCGTTAAGCATATCCTCAGGGACCATGGATAGAATGAGGCTGTCAGTGAATGTGACTCAAGGGTCACAGCAGTCAAATGAGAATGTGAGAGTGTTCCATACTTGAGGCTGACTTAGACAGCTTTGGAATTGCATATACTGAGGGAATGATACAGGTGCTTGTAGTTATTAAATCATATCTCTTGGACTGAGTATTTAAAAGTTAATTTTGTCTTCAGTTTGAAGTGTTAGTTACCTATTATTGATTCTGCTTCATGTTCAGTAAATGCTATAAGAAGTGAAATGTTGTTGGTAACTTCATTTGGGAACCATTTGTTAATTTTGGTTATTTCTATTGATTTCTGATTTTCACTTACTCAGAATCAGAGGGTACCTGCTGACATGATTTTCCTCCGAACATCAGACAAAAGTGGTAAGTATCACACTCAGCAATTTATGTAAAGTTTGAAGGGATTCCCTCTCAACTGCTTTCTGAAGCTTGGAGGCATGGGCTGGTTGAGCATGGCTGGCACACTGTCTGATGTGGGCGGTGAAAGGGCCATATTGTTGGATAGGTGTGAAATACCACAGATGCTGGATATCTGGAGTAAAGACAGAAAAAGCTGTCGAAACTCAGCAGGTCTAGCAACATCTGTGCAGAGAGCTGTTTTGAGCCCAACATGATTCTTCTTCAGAACTGAAAGGAGGTGGAAGGTTGTGAAAAATCTGTCTCTGTCTCCACAGATGCAAATCCTCTTCCTTGGATGGGTCTGCGTGACATTAGCATTAATTCTGAATGTTTCTAATTATGATTTAAAAGTGAAATTAAAAACTCAGTTACTTGTATAGGTTTTCTTTTGAAAATTGATTTGGAAAGTTAAGAAGTACTCTGTTTAGTCCCCAACACATTTAGATTTATGTTTTATTGCTGATAATTGAAGCTATGTAGTTTCAACTTGTTTTTAATGTTCTCCAAGTGAACTTGGATGATGGCGAGAGCCATTTGGTATACTTCCTGTCATCTTTGTGGTGGCGTTAATGCATCTGTATTCTTTTCCTACATTTTGTACATGTGTTGTCTCCCTTCTGTTTTCCAGGCTCTTGTTTTATTCGTACAGACCAGCTAGATGGTGAGACTGATTGGAAGATGCGTTTGCCTGTTGGCTGTACTCAGAGATTACCCATCGCAGCTGTAAGTATCGTAGAAACAACGAGGACTGTTCCACTTTCCCTTGACCAGCAATTTCTCCATAGGGGGATGGGTGACAGAGTTGTCTCCTAATGCTTTCTAGCCTTCTTCTGCCATGCCTCATGTACAAATACCATCTCATCAGCTGTGATTTGCTCGTTCATTGAATCATAGAATCCCTACCGTGTGGAAACAAGCCCTTCGGCCCAACAAGTCCACACCAACCCTTAGAGCATCCCGCCCAGACCCATCACCCTATAACCCACCTAATCTATACCTCCCTGAACACTACAGGCAATTTAGCATGGCCGATCCACCTAGCCTGCACACCTTTGGACTGTGGGAGGAAACCGGAGCACCTGAGGGAAACCCACGCAGACATGGGGAGAATGTGTAAACTCCACACAGACAGTCGCCCAAGGGTGGAATTGAATCCGGGTCCCTGGTGCTGTGAGGCAGCAGTGCTAACCACTGAGCTACCATGCTTCCCTGAGTTTTTTTCTTTTTTTTGCCAAACTATATGGTTAGATGTTAGAGCAAGTGAGAATACCTCAAGAAGATAACCTTCTATATTGTCATCCATTAGCAGCAACATAACTAATCTTTATCTAAAGATCCTTTCCAACTTGGCCATTTCAAAACATTTTAAGAATAATTTTGCCTGCATAATAGGGAGACTTTGCAATTTCTGCTGTAAAGATTACTGACTGCCCCCATCTTCCTGACATATTAGCAATTGTGAATGGTTCAGTTTACATAACTACAGTGTGATCATCTGCCTGCGCTTGATTAACTGACCTGAGCAGGCACCATTTGTAACGATGCCACCATTAGCTTGGGTGCCTCTGAATCTTTAAAGGTGACCAGTGACCTCTGCTTGAATTGTATGCGAGGATGGCCACCATTGGGCTTATCTGTGGATGCTGCCCATAGTTGTCGCTCATTCTATGTCTAAGCTCATGCTTTGAAGAGGAATCAGTGTGTGGCCAGTGCTCATTGAACCCTATCCCAGCTTGGAGATCCCTGTCCTTTGCACAACTGGAATAAAAATGATAAGCCAAATAAAGACTCATTAAGATGATGGTGAAAAACCTAAGGTGATTTGTTTTATGGGGCTTTAAAAGGAGAGAAAAGCCCCTAGAAACAAAATTCCAGAGTGTCGTTTTGGTAACTGAAATACTGAAGGGAGGAAGGATCAGAGTTAGTGGAAGAGAGAATTCTGAAGGACTGTCATAGTAAAAAGAATAAGGATCAGCCTGTGGATGAATTTAAACATGATGAACACATTAATGTTGAAACACAGAAACCAAAATATGTCGGTCAAGATAGAAGTGATCGGTGAGTGAGGTGGTGTTGAGTGATTCTTGGGCGGTAGAATTTTGAATGGGCTAACACTCAGAGAACTTACCTACAGAGGACTGAAAGAGTCAAAGTGGCAAGATATCAATGAGAGTTTCAATCATAAATTGACTGAGACACTTCATAATGTTGCAGTGGTGCAAGTGAATATCTTTATGATGTACAGGATATGGAGCCAAAAGTTAAACTTAGGACCAAACAAGGTATAGCATTTCAAAATGTTTGTGGACAGCGTCAGTGGGATAATTACAAGTTTTGTGACTGGGTCAGGAAGCAATGGCTGTGATCTTTTTCAATGTTTGTCTTATTGAATTTCCATGTTGGTCTAAGTCTTGTTGTCAGACTAATGTGGGTGGACAGAGGACATGGAGAGTTAAAGTGTTGCACATGTGAATGCTGACTTTCTGAGCACAATTTTAACTTGAGAAGTAATGGTTTGGTTTCATCAAAAGTTAAAGTGCAAAACTTCTGAAACTTTAACCCACCCCACTTTGAGCCTAACCACTTCTGGTTGCAACAGATAATGGGCAAATAACCAACCTGTTTGTGGGAAGTAAGTTAATGCATTAAATACTAAAATGAGAGTGCATACCTATATTTTACTGGGGATTCTAGTTTTAGCCTCAGATAATTGACTTTCCCAGGCCTTGGGAAACTCAGCAGCTTAAACTAGAGGGGAGATCCTGAATCTATAAGCGTACAGGTTTTCAGGACTGCTCATGGATCAGGAGGAGCAGCGGTATTTTCTCCATGCCCCTCAAGATAATATGTAAGCACCCCCCACACCTATCCCTACCCCAGTATCTGACTCCCAGTCTCCACAAACCATGACTGGACTCAAACCCATCCCTTCCACAATCTCTTTCACACTCCCACCTACTTAGTTTTGTAGGTTTTAGTACTGCCAAGCAGGAAGGCCTCATGCTGATAATGGATGGAAACCACCATGTAAAGGCTCCCTACAGTTAATTTCTACAAGTCAGTTGTGTTTATACTGGGTTTCCCAACTCCTCAACAGCACAGAATTTGCCCAAGGGTTGGCTCTGAATGATATCTCCAAGGGACAGGACACAGATACTGTAAAAATTTGAGAACTGTGCTTTGAAATTGTGAACCTCTACTTGTATGGTGTTCTGCTGAAACATTAGTTCAAATATGAAAGTGGCTGGAGAAATGAAAGATCTTTGCTGCATTCCAATGTTTCTGCTCTGAACTAGGCCTGAACACTTACTCCCAAGCTCAATCAGGAATCTAATGCGGGATGGAGCACAGAGAAAACAGTGGGAAAATGAGGGAGAGTCGGAGTATACAGAAAACAGGAAGCTTTGGGTGTGGTGACTTGGTGGTTGAGACACAGAGGTAGCTTGAGCCAGGGCAGCAGAGTACTGAGAAACACTGGCACAGAGCAACAATGCTCAGAGCAAATGGTCAGAGAGAGTACTGGAGGTGCATGGGGGAGGACATGAGCCAAAGGAGAGAGGAGCGCATCTCTGACCGATGACAGCTCACTTTCTCATGAACATGTGTCACTGGGGAGTCACCCATCTGTAAGACCAAACTTGTTTTAAGGATCATGTGGAAGGTCAATATGAAACCTCAAAAAACCCTTTATTCAATTTGTATGACAGGGTTTGGAGTTATATTATTGCTTCCCAAGGTTAGTGCTATCCTGTAAATGATTAATATGGTATGCCTCAACTGAAACATATAAAGGTGTAGATTTATATACAAGATATTTTCTGTGATTATTTGAACTATAACAAAGCAGCACATACAAATATACAAAAGGCAGACATTCTGGCTTCATGTACTTGGTGCATATCAGGACATTTCCAAAGTGTTCAACCTGCACTTTTCTCTCAACAAACAACAATAAATCTTTTGATCTCATAAAAAACTAATTTGTTTGTAAATGGAAATGACATTGAGCAGAATCTATAAAGTCAATGAAAATTAATCTTTTCCCGTGAGTGAGACTGGTGTCAGTTTATCTTCATATGCTACTTGTCAGATTATGGTGCTTTTTTTTATGCTAACAACTTGAGGTTGGAGTACTTTGTTGTCACCACATGAATCTTATCAAGAAGAGGCTCTTTTCTGAAACAAGGTGTAGCTTATTGCATGATACCAATCAGGTACATGTACTTTAGCAAGTTTGACATTGTTACTAAGACTGTGTGGAGACTGAGGATATAGGTCTTCCCTCTACAGGATGGAATCATAGAGTTGTACAGCAAGGAAACAGACCCTTCGATCCAACTTATCCATGCTGACAGATATCCTAAATTAATCTCGTCCCATTTACCAGCATTTGGCCCATATCTCTCTAAACCCTTCCCATTCATGTACCAATGTTGTAATTCTACCAGCCTCTATCCCTTCCTCAGGCAACTTGTTCCATACCCACACTGCCCCTCTACATGAGAATTTTGTCCCTTAAGTCCTTTCTAAATCTTTCCCCTCTTGCCTTAAACCTATGCTGTCTAGTTTTGGACTCCCATATCCTGGGAAAAAGACCTTGGCTATTCATCCTATCCATGCCCCTCATGATTTTATAAACCTCCATAAGGTCACCCCTCAGCTCCGATACTCCAGGGAAAAATGCCCCAGCCTATTCAATCTCTCCCTGTAGCTCACACCCACCAACCATGAGCTGTTCTGCCTTTTCCCCACTCAAACTGGTATGACAGCAACAGATCGAGTGCCCCAAGCTTTAGTGCAACCCCCAGCACTTAGTCCTGGACTTTGGAATGTGCCAGTCTGCAACAGTCAGTCGAGGTCAACTCCTTACTCTGGAAACCAATACATTTCAGGCAGACCAAGGAGCATCTTTCACCAAGTTGATGGTCCTCCAGGCACAGCCAATGCTTGGGGCAATGTCACTGTCTAAAGTCTTTCTGCCAAAGTTAAATGGGGATCCATTCAGTTATCGAACCCCTGTCCCAGTGCCTCAAAGGTATGTAAATAGTCTTGTACAAGTAAGAAATGCCTTTGGTTTGTTTGTTGGATAGAGTCAAACTCCAACGTTTGTTTGTTTCTCCGTATGCTACTGTACAGAACCAAACTGCTTCAGTAACTGTGTGTATAAAAATATTTTTATGAATATATATTTGAAATTTTAAAAATCACCAGATTGATTGCAGCTCACTGCAGGTTCCAGCATTAACTCTTTCAGAACCATTACCTAATATAACAGCACACAGATATTGTCCTTACTCTGTTTTATTTTAATTCACAGGATCTGTTACAAATACGATCTTATGTTTATGCAGAAGAACCAAATCTTGACATTCATAGTTTTGTTGGGACTTTTACTCGGGTGAGTTAATAAGAATTCAGCGTTCCTCAGTGTTATAGTAGATAAAGTATTGGCACCATTCCATTTCTAAAAGATTGTTTTGTAAGCGACTTCGTAGAACCATAGAACCTCTACAGTGCAGAAGGAGGCCATTTGGCCCATCGAGTCTGCACAAACTTCTCAATTTGTTTTATTTTTCTTGCATATACAGCAATATCTACATATCTATCTTTTCTTGGTAATTTGTGAAACCTGTTTTTGCACTTATTACTTATTTTTTCCTCAATGTCTTCTCCCGTTGTCTCTTCAAGAGATTGGTTTCTTGCTGTACTGTTCCATCGGGATGAGTCAGTCTCTGAAACTTATCCAAGTGACAATTATTTATGAGAGTGGCTGAAGTAAATGTGTCCTGTTTATTCCATGATGGAAGAATGGATCATAACTGCAATGACTGCTCTTCTGTCCCAATATTGCAATGAATGCAGTTTGGACACTGATCAAAAGTGGGAATCTTTCTCAGTTTTTCCCCCTTCCTAATCAAAGATGCTGCTGATATTTAAAGTGGTCACAGCATCAGCCTATTGACGACCAAGTAATTAAGCACACAGAGGATCAAACACATCTTGGCTCAGAGACTTCTACTGTACCTTGTAATCATGGAGAACTGGGGGACACTTTATTCACTTGGTAATTCTTGCTGGAATGAGCTGCTTGTGCTTCTTAGTGCCTGGGATGTGGTGACAAAGAACATTACTTAGCTAACCCATCATAAAAATGGTAAATTGGTGAAATATCAGGAGTGACTGTCCAACTCAATATATTCACATTGAAAAATATATGATTTTAATCTACAGATTCATTTGATAATATTTAGAATTTTGTTGGCAATTAGGGAATAGTGATCCTTCAAAATGTTGCAACTATTTAAATTGAAGTTTAATTCTTCATTTTGTGTTTTAGGAGGATAGCGACCCACCAGTTAACGAGAGTTTGAGCATAGAGAATACGTTATGGGCCAGTACTGTTATTGCTTCCGGTAAGGTGATTTTCTCCTTGTGGAACAGATCAGAAGTCTATGACTTTCTTGTTTAACAATTTGTCGAAATTGTTGAAACCTCCTGATGTGCCTACCGTCAATTAGGTCTTGCTAAGTAGTAAGTGGGCATGACAACATTAGCATAGGATTTTTATTGTGTGTTTACTAGCACTTGATCTGAATGAATGAAGTAAAAATATGTCATTGTACACAAGGTGTGCGTTTTGTTTTCTTCTAGAACCGAGGTTTGCCAAATGGTTTCAGGAAGATCATGGTTGTGGTGTTCATTTTTGTAAAGTGGCTTCTGGCAGCACTATGAAGGCCTACCTAGATTTCACAGGAGAGGCTCCTCCTCTTGACCATGGAGAGTTGACCATAGAGATGAACACCCACTGGCATGTCCTCTATATAAGTTGAAATCTGTTGATTTTCTGCCATCATGGCATCTCACAGGCTAACCAGCTGAAGTGATGCCAGAATGCTAAGTCTGTGCAAGGTAGGGCCCATGCAATGCTGGTGGTGTTCATAATCAAAGTAGTAGCATGAATTAAGAGCCAAGTAGGCCACTTGGCCCCTTGACCCTGCTGAGACATTCAGTAAGATCATAGTTGATTTGATTATTCCAAACTCCCACCTATCCCAAATAACCTTCCACCCCTTTGCCTTTCAATTCTGCCTTAAATATATTTAAAGATTCTTCTTTGTTTCTCTACCTTCTGAGAGAGTTCCAAAGACTCACTGCCTGCTGTGAGAAAACAAAACTCCTCATCCCTGTCTTAAATGGGTGATCTCTTATTTTTAAACAGTGTCAGTTCTAGTTTTGAGTCCAGTCACCCTACCTCAGAAGAAGGGTCACTGGACCCAAAATGTAAACTCTACTTTCTCTCTACAGATGCTGCCAGACCTACTGAGTTTCTCCAGCTATTTCTGTTTTTGTTTCAGGTTTCCAACATCTGCAGTTCTTTGTTTTGTTTCACCCTTCGTTCTATATTCTTCTAATATTCTTCCTTTCCACATCCACCCTGTCAAAACCCTTCACAATCTTGGATGTTTCAGACAAATAGCCTCTTATTTTCTCTAAATTCCAGTGGTTACAAGCGTAGGCTGTCTGATATTTCACCATAAGACAGCCCATCCATTCCAGGATAACAAGGTGTAGAGCTGGATGAACACAGCAGGCCAAGCAGCATCATAGGAGCAGGAAGGCTGACGTTTCGGGCCTAGACCCTTCATCAGAAAA